GCCTTGTTTGTGCATATGCATGCTCGTGTTTGTCTGTGTGTGTTCTGAAAGCGGATGGCAACACGCAGTCTCCTCCTACATGCCCTTCGGCACGTTTGTCTCTTAGCAACAATCTAGTACATGTCACATGTGGCAGATTGGCTACCACTACGTGCACACCAACACACACACGCACACGCACGCACACACAGCCAGAGATGAGGGATGAACAATGTCCGTGGTCATACTCATGGGGTAGTTTAACCTTTACTAGAATGAGTAATGAGTGTGTTTGTGTGTGTGTGATAATCAGAATGCAGGAGTGACATTTGGAGTAACCTGTTGGTAAATTGCAGACTCTTGGTCAGTCGGATCAGCCAAAAGTTTCATCCTCCAGCTCTGACGTGCAGCATATGAAGAGCTTACACTTCCATTCATTCACAGTTTGCATCCTCAGAGGAGCTGAAGTGACAGTTTACAAAGGACAACAATGGTTACCATGTATTGTAAAGGCGCAGGAGGAGAGTGACAGTGATACAATCATCCCCTCCTATCCAACCAAATAAATGTGTCCTCTTCACCGTTGACTTGTTATTAAGACATATTTCCAAAATAATAACGTAAACATGGAATTGGAGTCAAGTGAAGCATTCACCATGGGCTGACGGTAAGAGCTGAAAGCAGTTGAAGCAGGGCAATAAATCAGAGCTATGGTGACCCACAGTAAACAGACTGGCTGAAAAGCGCTTAGTGGTGCATCTCTCTCTCTCTCTCCGATTATCCAAAAACACCATCTGTACCTGTAGTGCTTTAATCCATTAGAATAGTCAGGCTTTAACAACCCAGCCTGGTCTGTAACAAGCAACCCAAACTATCTCTAATTCTCTGTCATGCATTCCTCCAGTCTGCCGTCTGAAACAAAACCCAACTGACAACACAGCATCTTTCTAATTACAGAAGACAAAGTGACTGTGTGTGTCTATAAACATGTTAGTTATGCTTTGATCAAACTGATCTGTGTGTATAGAAGATCTGAATCAAAGCATTTGAATGTGTAAAAGTCTTGTTTTGCCTCAGTAGAAACCTCAGGTAGTTCAAATATTTACAATACATTCCTTTTTCATTTAGCTAAGGCTTTTAACCGAAGCAACTAGTGCATTTCAACTAGGAAGATACAACTCAGAAATTGCACACATCATACAAATATATAAATTCAATCAAATAAATGGTTTGGTTTTATGTTCAATATATAGTAGGCATGGGTTTGTCCATGTGGATGTAGTAAATAATGAGAGGACGTCAGGGAGGCATCTAATGAGTGAGAGTTGACTGACAGCAAAGGTGAATATGTGTGTGTGTGTGTGTGTGTGTGTGTGTGTGTGTGTGTGTGTGTGTGTGTGTGTGTGTGTGTGTGTGTGTGTGTGTGTGTGTGTGTGTGTGTGTGTGTGTGTGTGTGTGTGTGTGTGTGTGTGTGTGTGTGTGTGTGTGTGTGTGTGTGTGTGTGCATTAATGATCGTGTTAGATATCAGATGCCTCGGGTGTATTTCTCAGAACTGCCAACTTAAGCCCCAATTATGCCCAATCTTGTTGCCCTGAATTTGAGGTTTACAAAAGATATTCATTTTCTCTCTCTCTCTCTCCCTCTCTCTCTCTGACACACACACCCACACACACAGAGAATGCGAGGTGACCTTGAGAAGCATCTGGATATAAGGTGTTTGTGCATGTGTGTGTGTGTGGGCGAGTAAATGTATCCCTAGAATTTCCAGCTGAATCAGTAATGAGCTTTTCATTACTTCAGCCTCAGTTCCCCTGGGAGGAACACACACACACACACACACACACACACACACACACACACACACACACACACACACACACACACACACACACACACACACACACACACACACACACACACACACACAGACACAGCAGGAAGAGCATGGTAAAAGGTAGCTGTGGATTATACTCTTAGCAAGTACTTATCAAAATCAAATTATAAAACTATTGCTAAATAAAACAGCTGTGAGGGAAAGAAAGACAGAAATAACAGTCGGCTATATCCTGTGAATATTGTGGTAAATAAAAAGTGGTTAAATATCTAAAAACCAATGATGATGGCTACATTCTAAAACATTAAGCCTACACACTGTACGTAATATGTTAATATTCATAAACCGGGTCATTTTATTATTTGTAGACTTTCAAAACTTTGGCCTGCCTGAGAAACTACAGCCACTTAACTCATTCCTGGTAGTTCATTTGTTACAATGCTTCCAAGCATTGTAACACGCTTATCATGTATTATACTGAGAGATACTCATTATATCAGAGACAAGGAATGAGAATGTTTTATTATGAGTCTACAGAACTTTGTGTTAAAAGGGATTACTCGATCAATGTCTATTTGCATACAATGATGATGTTGGTTTTTATTTTGACAGGATTTAGCTACTAACTGGTTGTACAAGAAAGCACCGTGCTTCTATTACGCCACATTTCCATTTAAACTAGCCTA